ACGAAAAAAGCAGGAAATCCCACCACCGAGAACCTGGAGGGACTGATGTCACGGCATTTCTGTTCATCCACTTCCTCCTCTGTGTGAGCTGCCTGGAAGAGATGAGACCATCTCGTTTAGGAGGCGGAGGCGTCTGTGCTGCAACAGGATGTGACTGTTTGGAGACGGAGGTCACAGATCAACGAGTTTGCTGCCCAGCATTGTCACAGGCACAACACGGCAAGAAATTTGGTATAAATCAGTTTTATCGTTTAATATATTCTTTTTTATTTGCCAGAAGGTGGGACATGTTTATGGTCATCTTTTAGAAGATTGTGCACTATTGTCTGGAGTGTACCTCAGTCTTCCTGTCTAAGTTCCTGAGGATGTGTAACATACTAATTTAGACATTTATAGATCATAATTCAGAAGCAATACCGGATATACCAGTTTCCTTCACAGGAACCAATCAGATTTCCTCAACTTGTTCTGAATGGTTTCTTGTTTTATTGTATTTGCAACCATGTGTTTGAGAATATACAGGTTGCTTCAGGCCAATCATTTTTAATTCCATTATCTTTAAAAAGATTATTACAAGGGTGTCCAAGGCTCCAGCTTCATCATGTGCAAATCATACTGACTCTTTCTTTTTTTATATATTGACTCATATATTGACTTCATGCTTTATAACGGGATTTTCTTTGCATGATTTTGATCTCAGTAGAGACTGAGTTCATTTTCTGAGACATGAGTTGTGACATGTCAGTACTCTTTTTTTACTAATGTGATCATGTATGTCACTCATTGTGTAATGCATGAAGAAGGGAAGTGTAGACGGCGACGTGGGTTTGGCTGCTTCTCTGCTCACTCTGACATGACTTTATTATTTTATTTATTATCACGAAAACTAAGGCTGGGCAAAATAACAATATCAATAATTTTCATCAATAGCAATATAACAAAAGTTCAATATATATTGATATGTTATGCATCGTGCAAACTCATAATTGATCTACCTCAGGGTTTGAAACTTCAACCTTTCCTCAGGAGCAAAAATCAGTCTTACAACTATTTGTGATATGAACCTTTTTCCTTTATCATTTCTGGCCATATGTTCCAGCCCCAAGTAAAACCGAGCTGATAAAATGGCTGCATGCAAATGATCAGCATTCATCATTCTCTCTGTTTACTTGCATCAACTTTTGTAAACATGATTTATCCTCAGAGTCAAATTACGCCATCACTTAAACAGCGTAATGAGATGGTTGTCTGCTGCACTGCATTATCTTGAGTTGCATTACTGTAAACCAAACCATTGTGTGTGTGTGTGTGTGTGGGTGTGTGTCCTGTCCCTCGCTGAGGCACACTTCCTTGTCTACCTCACTTTCCCTTATAAGCCGTTGGTATGAATTTATTTTGAGTTGCTGTTTCTTTGAAGAACAGCGTTAAGTTCTCAAGACAAGCAGCAGGCGAAGGGTTGGCTCTACTAACGCAGGGCTTGATATCAGTAACAGGAATTCAGATTATGTCACAGCTGATATTCTAGCATCCAGTCAGTATAAAGTATGATATACATTGTGCAGCCTCAGTTATGTACACGGTGTCCTTGTTCTTCAGATCCCACTGTGAATCATGTGTCAGGACTGAACGTGGTATGTGTTCTGCATTAATTGAGCCAAAGCTTATCAGTCACTCATGTAGATTACATAGTGTGTGAGAGATGTGGAGCATGTGGCAAGTATCTGTTGATAATGAAGAATTCCATTCTAAGTTAAGTAAGTCTGTGTGTGTCTGTGTGTGTCTGTGTGTGTCTGTGTGTGTCTGTGTGTGTGTCTGTGTGTGTGTTTATACAGTACACGTTACCTCTTTCGGACCTTTTCCACTTTAAACACTGACCTTGTCTGTACCAGCCGACCTTGTGGAGACCAAAGCCTGAATCAAGTCTGAGGTCCTGTTTGAGTTCAGGGGTAATGTGTGAATTGTGTTTAGGGTTATGTATGAATTCATGATGGTGACGGTTTTGGTTTGGCTGTCAACACTGAATGGACATTAATTCATTGTCCCATCAGGGGTACATGTCCAACTTCCCTGTAAAAAGACTATTATTCATGTCACCTCATCGTGTTTTGAAGGTTAGTTAACAAATCATGAATTTGATTTAAAAACAAACCTCAATAGCTGTAGTACAAAACCCTCTTGTGTTATTTTTAGCTGCGACTAAGACGAAAACCAGCACTCCCATCTTTAAAGGCCAGTGAAGTCATCAGTCAAGCCCACGTGTCTGTGACTCGCTCCAACACATGAAGGGGGACCTTTGGCCTTTGTGAATAATGGTGATGACTGTCGATATTTGATGGGCAGGCTCCAGCTCAGGCAGCACCTCTCCCGGTTGCAGCCCTCGGGCTATTTATGGTGCGCTTCTTTTCGCACCATGTCGCTATTAGGCCCCCACATTCCCTCGTGCCGAAATATCCTCTTATATATTTCTGACCCGGGTCAAGCTGTGCTCAAAAATAGCTCTTTTCCAGCTTTAACCCACACGAGTGCATGGTGGTGTGTGCGTGTGTGCAACACATTCTAACACTGGTACGTATCAGCAACTTTATTGGCATGGTACTATTCATGGTTCTAACCGCTTTGCTTAACGCATGAACGTACGGCAAGAGAAAACAAAATGGAAATGACTTCTAGAGGTAACACTCTACAGAGGAAAGTGCCGGTGAACCAGAGTAGCTGAAGCTCTTTTGTATTCCTGGTTGGTGGGGACAGGCAGTAATCTTTGATGGAAGACATTGATTTATTTGTGTCCTCAACAATGCTTTTATTAATGGGCCATTTGAGAGAGATTTAAGCAAAGGCTCTGAGAGTAACTCAAGCTGATTCAATTGTAGGGGGGGGGGGGATGGGTGGTCTTTGTTTATTTTTCCTTCTGCGTCTCTTGGAGGACGTCACATCGAACCCCACTGTGGAATTTAAGAAGCAGAACATGAGAGACGTCCGTCGGGAGAAGTCGAGCTGGCCCCTGAATGTTGGTGATTAGAATCACTTGTCATTGGAGAAGCCCCTGAGGAGACTCACATTTCTGCAACCGAATCACAACACTGTTTGTTTATTGTTTTAAACAATAACTTAAATTCACCATAAAACGAAAGAAGGACGTTATGTTGTCACCCCTCACTTTCACTTTCTTTAACATTGTCAGTGTTTTTTGACGTTGTCATCATTTTCACAGGGAATGATTAATGGATCAGGACTGATATCTTTTGGGCTGTGTGTAATTTTGTGCAGCGTAATTGAGTTTAAGGGGACTGTTGACTGTGGCGGAGGTATGCACTGCACTAAGTGCCTCTCTCGTTGTGATGGAAACGGAGCAGCATTACTCATCTTTCTTTAGGTCTGCCAGATCGAAGAGTACGAGCAGGGATATAAGGGACGAGGAGGTTTGAAAGGTACGACGGCGCAAGGTCTCTCAGTGATTTAAAAAACGAGGATTAAAATTCTAAAGGCCACAGGTAACCAGTGCAGTTTGGTGAGAATGGGTGTGATGTGATCATACTTTGAACTTCTTGTCAGAACCCTCGCTGCTGTGTTAGGAACAGATTGATTGATTTCTGGGGGAGCCCGGCAGTAACCTGGAGATAACAGTGTGAATGAGAGTTTGGGCATTATTGAGTGAAAGGATATTTTTTCTTGCAACATGCCTTGAATATTTAAGTGATTGTAAAAAAAAAAATAATGAAAAACCTGGACACTAGTTTCAGGTTCAAACCTCGTCTGCTCCTCACCTGCAGCCGTCCAGTGTGACTCACTCCTTGGTTTTCTGCCGTGTCAGAAAAGCATAGCTGCGAGGAAACCTGGAATTTGAACCCTTTACCCAGGCTTGTAAAAACTTGTTGCCTGGTACAAGAGCCTGCAGGGAGATGGTTAAATGTTTAACCAAAATTCCTCTCGCTCTTCACAGTGCAATGATGAAAACCTTTTTCCATTGTGTTCAGTGCACCGTTCAAACAGTTCGGTCAAACTGCAACGTTGCAGGAATGTTTCCTCACGAGAGTTTATCTTGTGTTTCTCATTTATCATCATTATTCCCCCCTCTGTCTGTGAGGCGTTGAACTTTGTCCAGGGGACCTGGTGTGGCCTCGGTGTTGGACACTTGTCTGCTTCGCTGCCTCCTTATCTGCTGTTACACATGCAAGGTAATCAGCAACATGAGCCCGGGTCACGTCTGTCCCTGGTGACCTCTTTCACACTAGACTCTTTAGGAAGGCTGCTTCTCTAAGACTTATGTAATGTGAGATCGATTGTGATTGTCGGGTTTTTAACTCATTTAGTTTTGTTCGGTGCTGCGAACACAACTTGACCTTGACCCTGAATATTCGTTCCACTTCAAAATGGCTTTGATGGGACAGGTACAAAAATTTTAAACTGCCAAATATCAGTTTTTATTATTTACCTTTTTTTGAATACTTGTGCAAACCTAGAGTAAAATCCAGAATACACGGGTCATCCTTCGATCGGAGTCCATGAGCGTTTTCAGAAAACACAGAGACCTTGCTTTGTTAACTGACTCCTCTCCTCTGCTCTTTTATCTGGAAGTGAATGTTTCAGGCCGTTTGAAAAGTGATACGCCTCCTCATATCTAACCAACACAGCTGATGGATTAATGATTAATGAAACTCAGTTTCACACCAGGGTCTTTGATAAGATCCTATTCTGCCGTTATTTCCTTTATTTTTTTATTTGTGATGTTTTAACCATATTCCATGTACCATTTTGTTTTTCACATGTCAGTCAGTGCTAATCAATGGCTGATGATGGGACAAGCTGTCGATCACTTAGTCTAATTATGAGTCAGAATCAGTTGCTCGCACTCTCTTCCTTCTCTTCGGCAGTTAACCGGCACTTCCTGTGGGTTGATTATTCTCCTTCTTTAGTTCACATTTGTTAGATTTGGAAAAAGGGAAGTGGTTTTTCAAGTTCCCGTCAGCTGTTGACACAATGCTTGTTTCATCTGTTGTCAGGCTCAACCCCACCTCCGCTCCTCCACGCCTTCCCTTCATCCCTTTTCCGCACTGGCTCCTGTTCCCCAGAGGGCAGAGCTAAGTATGGGGTAAAAGAGCCGAGAGGAGACGCAAAGACGAGTCAAGCTGAGGAGGCCGGCTCACCTGCACAGGTAACATTCTACTGTGTGACCTCAAACCTCCAGAAACCTTAATTTCTTCTTGTATCAGTGAGAACTAATAGCACACATACACACATGCTTTGTATCGGTACAAGGACACTCATTGTCATAATGCACCAAAACTACGCTTAACCATCACAACTAAAGTCCCACCCCTAAACCTAATTCAAACCCTAAACCCACATTTTGAAAATGTGACGACCGCCAACCTTTCCTCACAGTGATGGTTTTGTAAAGTTGATTATTTTCTTGCCAAGCTGTCAACTTACATTCATATAACGTCCACTGTCAAAATAATGCAAATAATCTTTCCATACATGCAAATTGAAGAGAAGGACAACAATGGTTCTAAACCTCAGTTTGTCCTCATAACTATAGAAAGACACACACACACATTGTTCTTATTCCCTCCCGCCCTTCCCCCACCCAGGTGGGAAGCCTCTTCACTGAACATTTTATCAGGTGGAAACCACAACGGTCAAACACAGCCTGGCATTGTCCCCTCAGATCTAATCAATTCACCACACCCCTGCTGTCTGTGCTGATCAGTTACTCTGCAAACAGCATCAAAGTCCATCTGGCCCACTGTTGTTGCAAAGATCCAACCTGCACCAGCGACGAACTGTAAAAATAATCTGTTTTAAGAGCCTAACAACAGAAGGGAGGGTGGAAATGTTCACCTTTTGTAAGAACGTTTTATCATGACCGACTTATTGTGCAACGATAGAACAAAAATACATAAATATTCACTTGCCACAGATTTTTAAATGTGCAAACGTCTTTTTCGAACATCTAGAAAAATTCAGAAATAAAAGCCTCATTAAGCCACATGAACGGAGGTGACTGCCAGACCATATGCGAGGGTGGTCTGGGCCACATTGTGTCCTCATTCTTTAAACTGTGTGGATGCAAATGCATCCTGGTTAACATATGAAGGACGTCCTACTCAGCTGGCGTCCTCTGACCTGCTGCAGTTTCACTACGAATCAAACGTATATATTTTTTCATCTCGTTGATTTGTTTGTAACCACCACCTCTATCTCTCTCTCTCGCCCGCTTGTGCAGACACACAGGTCTGGTCTTCGTGAACAGAAATGATGTACTTGTTTGTTTGCATGTAGGGTGGGGAAGTGAGATCCGATCTCGCATGTGTGTCCACTTATTAATAGTAGGCGTGTGGGTCTTTTTTTATTGCTTTGATTGAGAGACAGCTACTGGCCGAAGTTCCGTTATTTAGGTGTATAGTAAGCTAACCCACTTTGAGCTATTACCACATCCTTTTTTTTCCATTTCCGTTAAACTCTTAAAGTGGATCTGAAAATGACCTAAATGCACTTTGCTCATGTGCTTAAATTGAGTCCTGTTAACTTTATATTGAGTTTTCAAGAACCTGCTCCATTTTGTGGCATTAAACCAGGAATGAGTTTGAACTAGTTTCCAATCTTTGACATTATTACCGTCCATGTAAACACAGCGAACCACTCTCATATCTGATCCACTGCTGAGGACTTCAGCTCAAACAGACGAATCAAACGCCTGCTAACCAGCTGCAGATGTTCTGTCAGGCTCCAGCAGGTAGGTGTATGTTTAGCCTCAGACTTCTGGTGGTTAATTAGACGTCTGGATGCTGCGGTCTTGTCAACATGATGTTCTTTAGAAGCCCTCCCCCTTTCCCCCACCAACTCATTTCCCAGAACTCATTTTGTTTGTATGGCAATACAGGAAAGCTCCATCATCCATGTGCAACAGAGAATGAAAGAAAAGGTGGGGGTTAAAGAGGTAAAGCAATGTCGGGGCTTGTCCTTGTTCATAATACCGCTCTGATATACTGTCAGGATTATGTGTCATCGTCCTCTGTTGCTGTCACTTGACTTTCAAGAACAGAATTTGAGAGAAAGGAGGGAAAAAACAGCAAGGAGAAGGACAGAGGAGGCAGATGGAGGAGGAGAGGGGGGGGAAAAGGTGGGGTAAACAAAAGGATAGGGAGCAAACAGGAGTGCAGCGGTGCAGAGATGTTGCTAGGAGGCTGAGAGGAACATGATACAGAGGCAGGAAGGATACGGGCAGTTGTGGAGGAGGGAAAACCAACTGAGCCGACATATATCCAGGGTAACTTGTCACATTGAGTTCACAATTACTTTTAAATTAGGTTATATTTAATATGGTGTTATTTATTAGTGTGTGTGCACCATCTTCCACATCATCTCTTTCATCATGCTATCTAACATTTCCTTTATGTTAGTATCTCTTTCTATCTTCGCCTCGTCATACAAATCACATTCAAATCAACCAGTTGGGCCACAAGGATTAGTGGATTAATCGATCAGCCGTCTAAAGGTTGTGGTTCATCAATAACCTAAAGAAAACTACAGTAGTCCAAGCAAATGTTGTGGCTGCCTCGCTGGCAAGCACAATACGGAGGAAGAGAAGTGGAATGAGAGGCCCAGGAGGGGAAGGGAAGAAGGAGGGTGAGACGGGAAAAAGAAAGACGTGAGAGATGGCAGAGAAAATGTCATCAGCAGGGATGTGTGATTCTGCCAAAGCAGAAATCCGAGGTGGACTCAAACCTCCTGAAAGACTGTATTGTCTGTGTGATCCCAGTACTCACAGAGATTAAAGTTCTCAGTTGCTGTTACAGATTTCTGTCGGTTGGATCCCAGAGAGGCCGTGCTCGAGATCAGGGAATTTCTGAAGGGGGAAAAAAAAGCAAAGAGAAGGGAGTGTGACCCAAGAGCCTGGCAGGTGTACGAAACCTGGAGATGTAGAGCCGAGGCTATTTTAAAGGTAAACAGAAAGTTAATTACCCACACTGGCAAATATTAATATAGACAGAGGGCGTGTATACACACACACACACACACAAAGACAGAGTGCTGCAGCCACATACAGCTGCGTTCAGACATCGTCCGAACACTCTCCGGCTTATGTTGCATCCATGTTCCAGGACTGACCTCACTGGCCACTCATGACGTTAGATAATACACGTTAACACTCCAGACTACCGCAAAATTTGACACCCCCCTTCAGTCCAGACATTTGTTTTACTGTGTAAGTGATGCCAGGACTCACAGATTTAAGCCCTATTGGCAGCACCACCCTTCTGAACTGTACCAGCCCGTACGTCATTTCTGAGCACTAACCCCTGATAGGATTGCAGAACTTAACAATGCATTGAACAGAGTTTGGATAAAGACCCACAAAGGATCAGATGGAGACTTAACCGATCATTCGAGAGCTCCAATATTCATTGCAAGGATGGAACATTCCATCCCATCTCGGGTTGTACCATTACCTGCTGAGTAATCACTTCTTAGGATGCAGTTTGGAAGCCGAACTTGACCTTTGACCTCTCTGTTCAAAGCAACAGGCAGAGTCACTTCACAGGAAACAGTGAAGTGACCTGACGATAAACGACCCCATGCAGGTGTGACTTTCACAACTCTTCTTCTTCTGTGTATTTTTCTTTTTGCTCTTCCTGCTCTGAGTTATTCCAGTTCGACATTATAGTGATTCCCAAAGGACACATTCAGTGCCAGTCAGGTTACTTCTACCTGTTTACTGTCTTTACCTGACTACCTGACGTATCGATCAGAATATTAATGCAATATTAAAACCTTCTGTCCTTGTTATTCACAGTGTTTTTCTAACATCTGTCCTCTTTTGTGTGTCTGCTCAGGTGGGTGCAGGATCATGGCGATGCAGCGGAGGAGGCTGAAGCTTGTGGTGACAGTCATGACGATCAACCTCTTCATTTTTATCCTCATTGTCCGACACAGCGGTCAGGACAAAAACGGGAATCCCAAGGTGCGCATCCCCTCTGAGCCCTTCTGGAGCAAACTGGCTCCCGTCCCGGCTTACTGGAACCGCCAGCAGCAGATCCTGGACTTCCAGAACAATCCCATCTTAGCGTCTGACTACAACGCCACAGAACTGCATGATTGGCTCACTGAGACCGGTCTCCCCTCTGACCCCTGCAGGCAGAACATCAGGGTCACCACTCAGGTGAAAGACTACAACTCCCTGCCAGACCGCTTCAAGGACTTTCTGCTTTACATGCACTGTCGCTCCTACCCGACGATGGTGGACCAGCCAAATATCTGTAAGAAGCCGCCGTTCCTGCTCCTAGCTATTAAATCCCAGGTATCGCACTTTGACCGCCGCCAGGCTATCCGTCAATCCTGGGGACGGGCAGGTGTTGTAGCCAATCAGACGGTGGTTACTGTCTTCCTTCTGGGCAATGCCACAGCCTGGGACCACCACCCAGATCTATCCCACAGCCTGAGGGACGAGAGCGCCCGCCATCGAGACATCATCCAGTGGGATTACCGGGATTCATTCTTTAATTTAACCGTCAAAGAAGTTTTGTTCCTGGAATGGATCCAGGCTCGTTGCCCCGCGGCTCGCTTCATCTTCAAAGGAGACGACGACGTCTTTGTCAACACCTACCGCATCCTGGACTTCCTCAAGGGCCTCTCGGAGCCCAAAGCCAGGGACCTGTTTGTGGGTGATGTGATCACTGAGGCAGGGCCACACAGAGACAAGAAAGTCAAATACTTCATCCCAGAGAGCATGTACATTGGGAAGTATCCGCCATACGCAGGGGGGGGAGGGTACCTTTACTCGGGTGACGTCGCTGCCCGTCTTCACGTCGTGTCACACAGAGTCCCGCTCTACCCAATAGATGATGTCTACACAGGCATGTGTCTTAAAAAAATAGGGCTGGGCCCCGAGAAACACAAAGGCTTCAGGACATTTGACATAGAAGAGAAGTACAGGGCGAACCCCTGTGCCTACAAGAGTTTAATCCTCGTTCACCCAAGGACGCCGCAGCAGATGATCGAGATCTGGACCTGGCTCAGTAGCCCGGATCTGAACTGCCAGTGACGACTCCACCACAGTCAGTTTGGGACGGACTGAAATGGACCCAGAGAAGAAGACATTTTGGGGTTGTTCTCAAAACGTCCAAGTGATAAACGTTTTATCTTGAACGGAGCCGTGGACTACAAGTTGGCAGCTTTAAGTTAAGATATTAAAAATAATGGATATTTGGATCCTCAGCTTGGTGCAGTTGATGCATCACACTCTGAAAACGAGGACAGATGGATTGTTGGCTCCGGTTCTCAAAAGGACCACCGTAGTATTTTGGCTTGATGTCAGACTTCAATAGAAAAGCGAATCCTGCTTTACTGTGTCAAACTAGCTTTACCCCAAAGCGTCCGTGTCTGGCTACGCGTGCACATATTTATATTTCACAACTATTTATATGGCCTTTAAAATGCTTTAACACTGTCGGCTCCACGATGGAGCGTCTCAATGCTGTATTATATAAATATGGAGACTAAAGCCTGGGACGTGTCCACCTGGGATTCTTTGTTCTTTGCCCAAGGTGAGAAGTCTCAAAAGAGTGGGTGGTACAACCAGTGGTTCCCATACGCTGCAGTTTATTGCTGCGAGCTTTAAAGGGGCTTCCTGGTCAACACATCCTGGTAATTGTTGCTGGAGGCTTAGTTTGTGCTGCTATTCCGAACCACACTCCCTAAAGTATTTACTTGTGACTCGCTCCAACTCAAACTCAACCGTTCTCTCTCTTTTATTCTCTGTTTGCTAATTTAAAAATCATTCAGTTTCTCAAAGTTCTTCTCTCTGATTCCTATAAATGGTGCTTTTTTTTCTGTTTTTTTTTTGTTTTTTTTAGATGTGTAATGTAAAAAGTTCAAATCCTTCCACAGTTTAGAAAAGGGGAGTTTGGTGGAGTGAACACACTTGTGTTTTCAGGAAATGAGGGGGACAGGAGTCCAGCACTGTGCAGCTCAGCAGGTCTGGGCTTGGCTTGACATGGATGGAGAAATCTGTCCAACTCTGCTTCAGGCTCTCACTTCACTCAAAATGAAAAAAAAGACCCAAAAAATAAAGAGACTCTTTTAAACCCAAAGTGCATTTTCAGAGAGATGTCGAAACACTTCAGGCTCGAGCTTCTGTCTGAACTTGAATGTTGTTAAAAGTTGTGTTGCTTTGACGTCAGAGAGCGAAAAAAAAATCATGAAAACATATCGAAGCTACACAACTTTCATTACTCGACAAATCGGCACTGATCATTTTAAAGGCTTCATCTCGTAATTCCTTTCCTTAGTAGATTTATTTGTATCACACCCTTCGAAAGCTTACGATATGTTCAGACATATTTTGAGATGTTTTACCCCTGAAAGTTTTAACCCGGTGAATGAAACTCTCTGTTTTAGTTGTTGCTCGGCTCAGAGATGCTTTACCTCACACGCTGTCTTTCACTCGCTCTCCAGGAGAATCTCTGCAGACATTTACTTTCCTTGTTATGTAACGTTCCTTTCACAGCTTTGTGTGAGACACAGTCAGACACTTGACACATAGATGCACCTTTGTGATAATTCATGTGTCTGAGAGGAGGAGGAGAACGAGGAGGAGGAGGAGGAGGAGATGCTCTCTTTGTTTTCTCTCCTTGAATGTCGGGTTAAAGCTCTGATTCTCTTCTGTGGCTTCACGTCAGCGTGTGGATGTTCTTCAGCGTTTGTACCCAGAATGTCAACACTTAGAATAAGTGGCATAAGTGTTGGATTGAGTCTCATGTTCCCTGAACCTTGTTGTTCAAACATCTGATGTGAGAGAGAGAGAGGCTGTGTTCTTACGCCTCTGTTAGAGCTCCCCCTGCTGGTTATAGCCTCCTACACTGGCAACTCCTTGACTTTAATATAAAACCTAATTTATTTTAGTTTTTTTCACCATCTGTTCATTATCTCGGCCCCTAACTCTTCAAATACCCTCGATAAGAAATGTACATTTCCTGTTTATTTGTAATTTGACATTTGAAATGTTTACATGTTATTAAAAGTCATCATCGTTTATTTTTATAATTTCTACGTCTGTCTGATGATTGGCTGTTTGTTTGATTTCTGTTCACCAGGCTGATATGCAACTTCTTGGTGGTTTGACTGTTTTTTAAGGCCTTTTTCTTTATGAAACACAGGAGCTGTGTGTGTGTGTGTCGACCGTCAGTGTTTCTTTGGTCTCGTTTCCCAGAATGTGTCGTTCTCTGACCTCTTTGTGTTGGTGTGACCCAGTGGGTACAGAAGAAAAAAAACAAGGGGCATTTATGCATCAACAAGACAGGAAAATTAAAATGTAATAAAAATGAACTCTGGGAAAATGATCCACTTAAAATGAAAACATATCAATGTGATAAAGATTGAATGTTCAGAAACCTTTAAAATTCACTAACAACTTGATGCTTCAGCGACTTTGACTGTTAACTCACAGGATTTGGATAATTTCACATCACTCATTTCTAATATTTGCTGCATCACCCCACTGTTAACACGTTTCTCCTGAATCCTGTGGTTATTGTTCAACAGCAGCTGCAACGGTCAGTGATAAAAACCAAATCTGTGCCTGATGTTTGTACGTACTGTATCTGTAAGAGTATACTTCAGCCATTTAAGCGTGATCGCTTTTTTTATTACCTAGAAAGACTTGATTGTTTGAATAAAGTTATATTTCGCTGTTTTTGTATATACTGAACTATGCATTTTTATTGTTAAACAAATAAATTATGTGGCACAAGTATTGTTTGTTCAGTTATTTTAATCGGGGGGGTCGTATATAATATAGAAATTTGTTGATGCAGTAAACAGTTAATGCAACTTAACAAAAACTTGACTCCAAGGTTTATTTTCTGCGTCAAGCCACAAAGATCGTGTGTGATCCTTTCAAATCTAAACATTTTTTTAAATGCTTCATTTGAAGGATTTTTACAAGGAGAAATATTCCTTATTTCATTATTTTTAAAAAGTATGTTGACACCCACAGACTCAGCAATTGTAAAAAAATAAATAAAACCAAATGAATACAAACTAATGAAGATACATCTCTGAGGTTTTGTGATATTGTCACTGTAGATGGGAATTAATTAATTAAATTAAAAATTTAAATGTAAGATGAGCTTTTGAAAACAGTGCAGCTCATTCAGAAAATTCATGCATCTCACCAGCAGAGGGCACCCTTGTAATCTGCTCAAACCATCGGTGCAGCTTGAAGCCAAATGTGAACATTTATTTTGAAAATCTAAAAACAGAGATTTCCGTTTTGTCAAGAGAATTACAATAATGAAATTACACAAAAGAAAAATGAGACGAACTTTGCAGAAACAAAACAGTTGAAGCCCAAGTGTTGCTTCCAGGTCCTCGTGAGATAAGACATTACAACAATATTGGTGAAAGTATAGATGTAAACATGTGTAAGTACATGAGTCAGACACATGTCAGGACATCAGCAGCTTTAGAGATGAACTCATCTGCCTTTTCTCTCCAGGGTGTAGGAAGATGGGAAACAGTTGTCATGGTCACCATACTCCCAAGGGAGGGGCTTCATCACCTGGTGCTGGTGTGTGTGTGTGTGTGTGTGTGT